AAGTGTAAAAGACACCACCCAGAGTTAAATTATGACAGAATAAAATTTAACAGCAAGTTTTTCCTTCCTATCGTTTCCATTTCTGTTATGAACAGCTCTTTTAGCTGATGTATTATATTCTGTACTTTGAATGTACGGTTATTAATTTTTAAAATAGTAAGCCTTTTATTTTAACAGATCATATTTCAGTTTTTTTTTTAAGATTTAAAAAAAATTTTAATGTTTTTAAATGGTTACTTTAAAAGGCCTTTAATCTTAAGGTATCAGATTGCAATTTTTTCTTCTTAAATTGCTTTTTTCCTAAAAGCAAAAATTCTTGAAAATTGATAATCCTGACGTTTAAACAACAAAAATTCTCGAAATTTGAGACTCCAGATTTTAATGCAAATCTCGAGTATCCTTGAGATGGGGCTTCCCAGTAACATTTAATTTAGCAGAATTAAAACTATACCTGTAACATTTTTTTAATGGTGAAAATAGAGCATAGTATTTTTATGCATCTAAACCATAGTACTGGAGTGAATACTTCTGCGAAATGCAGTGCTGTAAATAAAACTAAACCATCGCATCCAAACCAATCCTCACCTGTTCCTTACGTTTCTGCTTATATTTAGTTACACTTCGAAATTTTAACATCCTAAAATTTTGAATGTAGCATACTATATGTAAACCATGTATATAAGTTGGCATTATTTTACGTTCACATTTCATTTCATCAGTAACATAACTTACTAATATTTTCTTCAGAAAGCAGAGTGAAATCTCTAAGGATTAAGTTCAATTTAATTTTTTCCCTCAAGCAGTTTCTTATGCAGCTAATTTACAGGACGCCATTCAAAGAAAAAGTTCAATAACTCTCTTAAAACATTTCAGCAGGGGAATATTGAACGTTATTTCACTATTGTAATACCGATAGTCTGATGAACTGAGTAGAACTCTGAAAAGAAAAATTGTATTCACTTGCAACCAAGGAGGTTAGAATAGGCCTACATGCTTACAGCTACTGACTACTGTTCTAACCTCCATTCGTCCAATTGCGGTTACAGCCGAAAATAACGCGGCAAAAACATCGCGGACGAAAACGTCGCGGAGAAAACAACGTAAGGCGAAAACATCGTGATACAAAAATATCGGGGGAGAAAAGAAAGCAAAGAGAAAACATCGCAGTTCTAAAACATCGTGATGCAAAATATGGTCGACAAAAATAAACTAGTTCAATAACTTCGCAGTTTAAAAACACCGTTGTCAAAAATATCGTGGGGAAAAATAAAGCTCCTACAAATGATCGCATGGCGATAACATCGCAGACATGCGTTTTTCAGGCTTTAAAAGTTGTAAATTCAGATTTGCATAATAATTTGTGAGCGAAAGAAGCAAAGAAATATTTTTACTTTTTAATTTAGAATTTTGAAGTACCTAAAGCATTCTTGCAGAAAAAGTGAGAAGGAAACTTAAGAATTTAAAAACTGAGTGATACTTATAGCGCTTAATAGAGTTTCAAATTTTCATACTTACAAAATAAAAGCCATAAACAAATTAATCTTCTTTTATAAAGTTTTACTGATAATTTTTCATGAAAAATCTGTTCTAAAAAGGTTTAGAAAAGGGAAGCTATGTAACTGCATGACATTACCTCTATAAAAATTGTTTGATTAATTGTCAAACTATTTTCTTGCACGTTTTATTAATCTGATATTCTTTAAGCGAAAATTATATGTTTGTTTCCGTTTATTCTAAAAGGGCGGTTAACACTTCCATGTACAGCGTGCAGTAAATTATTGTTATGCAGTCAAACACTGTTATTCAATTATTGTACTCAAGCGATGTTATTGTTATGCGATGATTTGTAGGAGCTTTATTTTTTACAGTGAAATTTTCGACGACGATGTTTTTAAACTGCGAAGTTATTGAACTGCTTTATTTTCGACGACAATATTTTGTACCACAATGTTTCAAAACTACGATGTTTCCCTTTTGCTTTATTTTCTCTCAGGATGTTTTATAGCACGAAGTTTTCGTTCTGCGTTGTTTTCTTCACGATGGTTTCGTCGGCGATATTTTAGCCGCGAAGTCTTCGGCGGACACCTCCGGTTGTTGCCCGGTGTCTGATTTCCATTTTTTTTCGCATGCAGGGTGATATGCCGGCTCAGTCAGCGCTGTTTCATTGGCCGACAACCATAACCCTTTCTTTCAGCTCTAACTGTCGTTTGGAAAGCTTTCCAAGCTCGCGGAATAACGTTTTTATTAATTACAAACTCTTGGGCGACCGACGTCGAACTGCGCCTCTCCTCAAATTTCCCATTTTTGCTACCACGTGTAAAAGGCACCCTGATGTTTTCTTCTACCATACTGCACGTACAACCTCACCTTCACTTCCAGAAGAAATGCGCCTTCCTTTCTTCTTTTTAAGTCGCTTTCCACTCCTCCCGCTGACTCCTCACGTTTTGCGTCATGGACCTTATAGAAAATAGACCAACACAAATGGGTTTTCTCCCTCGTCTGACGCGCTCCCGGCTGTCACCTCGATCACATCCGGAGGAGTAGGGACGACTTGCAGAAATTTAACAGTGGTTGCCTATTGCAGCGTGTATAATTGTCAAAAAAAAGCTGGTTGTAGCGCCTCATTTCACGAATTAGAATTTCTCCATATTTTTACTTTTGAAATCGAGATTGATTTTTAAAAATTTAGCATATTTATCAAGCATAATTAGCGTTCCAAATAATTATAAAGCTATTGCATGCTTTCAGGGCTTCATATTTTTTTAGATTTTTCTATGCTGTAGGGAAATTTGTAACTACTTCTTTTAGAAAATAGTATTTTAAATCTCAACTAATAGAAAATTTCAAACAAGCATTTTCCTCTTGCAGTTTTTATGTTTTTATTGGTGTAAATAAGTAAAAAATACTAAAATATTTAAAAACGAATTTTTCAAAGTTTTGTTTAAAATTCTAAATTGTGCTGCTTTTTTTAAATTAAAGATGAGTGTTATAGCACAATTTCTATAAAGCAATTTTATTTCAATTATATTTCATAATACATCATAGTGATAAGTACTTTTGACATCTTAATTTTTACACATTTAATTCTAATATTAAAATCGTATTTAACCGTAATAATTAACTTTGCTTGTATTTTATAGTGATTATTTTTTAAATTTATTTTTAGTTCTGCATTAGATTTTTTTTATTTACTGTTAATTTAATTTATCAGCTCGAAGCGGCATTTTGCGCTGTTTCACTATAAATGTCCGTTTCTCCTTCCAAATTGTTGTTACCAAATATTATCGATCTGTATTATATTTAAAGAAATTAAATAATGAAGAATCTGCATCTGCATGAATACATGTATGTTTTTCGCACTGTGACAAAAACGACGGTATCTAGAGCTATCAAATTTTGAATAATGTAATCCTCCACCCGAACATGGGCATCTGGACGGCCGAATTTCGAATTTGTTTTAATCTATTTCATATTTTGTAAAAATTTAACAAATTTTTGATTAACAAACTCAACGAGTTCAAAGCGAGCAATAGTAACACTGTACGGAAAATAACATTTTTATCTCCAGTGCGGAAATTCTAAAGATATGCTCTTTTGAAATGTATGTGGTTTACGGACGAAGAACATGATATTCAATAAATATAGGTAACACACAAAACGTTAAAAAAAGGTTCCTTTCGGGCGTAATACAAAATTTGAGTGCTTCTAGATTTTATTTTATCTTTTTTTCTCCTTCATTACACTCAGAAAATTCTATGCTCCGAATTTTATAAATTACTAAAATAAATAATCCACTTTAATGTTAATAATTTAATGATGATATAATCAAAGAAATGATCGTTTTGTAATGTTATTATAGTTTTGAAAATCACTGCCTGAAAATGTTCATTAAATTTTAAAAAAAAATTATCAGATCTTGTTTAATTTTACCTTATTTATTTCAAAGCATCACGTACTATCAATCTTATTTAATTTTATCTTACTTTTACGCAAAATTAAGTTCATAAATTTTGTGCTTAGAGTTTTTACCGTTTTACCAAAGTAAAGATGTTTGTACAAGAATTACGCGTGAAAAAAATGCGCGAAATGCAGTAAAAAGTGCTTCAATGAGATGTATTAAATTCTATTTAAAAAAACTGCGACTTTCCTAATCTCATCACTATACAACGTATCACATTTAATAATTAAAAATAGTTATGTGATACAAATGCCATAGGTTTCAGTGTTAAAGTAAACCATATCGTCCCTACTCTTTCTTGCGGACATGTCGGTGACGCGCGCCCCGCCCACTGGGTTAGTCTTTTTCTTATAAGGTCCATGTTTTGCGTGCTTTGACGTACTCTTTGACGTCATGATGCTGATATTTGAACGCGCATCACCTTTCTGCTGAGTTGGGTTTTCAATGTACTGATAGTAAAAGGCCTTTTTCATTACTTTCATGGTTGTACGTTTAAAAGTGAATTTGTTCTTAAATTTTGCAAACTAATTTGTATAATACAGGGTCTCGACCAGAGAGAATTCCCAGTTTTAAGGAGGAAATTTTACGATTCCAGAGGGAATTATTTGACTTCACACTGGAAGACTCAAACTGTAACAAAGCGAAAGGCAAAGAACAACTAAACCATGATTGAAATTTTGTAACGCGAAAGGGCAAAAGAAAGATTAAAAAATATGAAGCGTAATATGGAAACATATGAGAAACGTAAAAAAAATACGTTTTCTAATTCCACCACAAAATTTTTTTAGTTCCCCCAAATCCTACCACAAAAACTACTACACACAGTATAACTCTGAAAAGCAGAAGTAAAATTTTAATTTATAGATATTTTTATTTTCTATCAAACTAAACTGGTCGCTGACTTACTGATAACACAGGCAATGATTTTGGAATTTTTTTTTTTTTTTTTTTTTTTTTTTTTTTTTTTAAGAAAATAAAAAAATTCTATTTTGAAATTTTGAAGAGTATTCGAAGAATTTGTTGTTGATAGAAGATAACAAGAGACAATATAGAAAGTATTTTTATTTGAGATATAACAAACTTGTTATGCGCATTTTCCGCGATAGGATTTTAAAACTGTCTCAAAAATTTATTTATATGCATATACATTATAAAAGTAATAACAAACACAAATCCTCCAACTCAAAACTTTTCCGTGATTAATTTCCCACGAAGAGCTTGCATATTTTCTTAACGTCCAGGTTTAATATTATATTCTGCTTCTTAATTATAGCATGCAATTTTCGCTCTTTTTAAACAATGACAGCGTCAAATGCAGAACATTTATTGCTTATGGGAGGACCTAAAGCTTTTCGCATTCGCTCCCAAAATAATTTTTGACCAAGCGTATTCTCTGTCCATTCTAAACACAGTCTAGTTTTCTCCAAGTATAGCAAGTTTTTAGTGTACAATTTCTTGTTTATATTTTCCAACTGAACTAAAATAAGACCATCTCTGGTGTCGTCGAAAAGTTTATGCTGAGCCATATGCAGTTCAAACATGCACCATTCACTCTTGATGAAGCTCTCTGAAAGAATCAGGATAACTTTTCTGCTAGCCTCAATTGCTTCCAATATATTTTCTGTGATAAGAGAACCCACCTGAAGTCCCTTTCGTGCACACAAAGTTTAAATTTTGGCTCCTGAACTTCGAGTGCAGGTATTAAGTAGGTTACAACCCATGGTGTATTTGCAGAATTGTAAGAGAGAAAAGCATCGTAATCATATCGAGGCTCGTAAGCACAGCTGTATTTCTTCTCTTTCATCTTAGCTTGGACGTGGAAAACCCAGTATCGAACATACCACCGAAAATAGAAGCACACAAGTAAAATTACCATAATGAACAATGTTACGAAACAAATTATAACTATTGCAAGCAAACCTATCAGAGCAGCTTCTTCTACTTCGCAGTTAACTACCGGTAATTCGACGTTTCCTAAAGGTTGGTTTTGCAAAAAGACAGGTTCCACACAAGTATACACTAAATCATCTATTTCTTCTTCTGGTAGACTAAATGTCAGGTTTGAATCTCTAAAGAAAGCCTGAAAATCCTCCATTCCACATGCGCTACAGTTGAAAGGATTTCTTCTTAAATCTAAGTATTCTGAAACTTGACCGAATTCAGTTAACATTGTTGGGGTAATATATGTTATTTGATTTTCTGACAACCCCAAAATCATTATGGTCAAATTAGGGTGGAATATTTTGCTGTTCCAAGGAACGATTTTGTTTTTCGACAAAAACAAGCTTTTTAAATCAGTAAGAGATGAAAATATTTGACTTGGAAAACTATCTATCTTATTCTCGTCAATATAAAGAACATTGAGTAATGGCACGGGGTGAAAAGGAAGGTATTTTTCAACAAAAATCAAATTATTTCGGCTTAGGTAAAGTTGTCTCAAATTTCGCATCCCAAAAAATGTGTAGTTTTTTAAATAACGTAAATTATTTCCTCTCAGATCAAGAATTAACAAAGACTTAAGAGTCTCAAATGCGTATTCGTGAATAGTCTCCAACATCGTGGCTCCTAGATTGAGCAGCTTCAATTTATACAAACCAAAAAATGCATATCTTGAAAGTATAGGATCTAGTGGCACATGGGCTAAATTTAATTGCTCTAACTGCGTCATATTTTCAAAAATGAAATCTTTTATATTAAAAATCAGATATGGAAAAATGATGATCTGATGATGGAAATCTAATACTTCCAAGTTTATAGACCTCGCTATTTCAGAAGGAAATCCTATTAATTCGTGGTTATTAAGCACCAGCTCTTTTAGATTAGGAAGATCTTTGAATGCTCCACTTTTAATGTCTTGTATAGAACAACGCGGTAACCACAGAGACACCAAAGACGGAATATAGGGAAATATTTCCACAGCCGGAAAATAATTATAGCCTAGATCAAGACGGAATATAGTTGTATTTTGTAGAAATTTTAATGCATCGTAAGGAAAGCTGTTTAAAAGAACTAAATTTCTCAAAAACAAAAATTTTATTGATGTATTGTTTAAACTACTGGTAACATTAGCCATTGCAAATTCATTAACATAGTTCACAGATAAATCTAAAATCTTCAGATAAGGTAAGCAATCGAATGCATTTTTCTCGATTATTTCAATAGTAGTATTAAACAGACTAAGATACATGAGTTTTGTGCTCTTTAAAGGTACAAGATCGTTTTTTAATATACTTCTAATGTCCGTGTTTCCATCCAAAGTTAAATTCTCAAAATGTGTTAAGGTTTTCAATGCTGATGCAATAGTCCCAATTCTGATTATTGAATTGTGCGTTAAATTCAGGGATTTCAGCAAAGGAATATAAGTGAAAGCATCTTTTACAACCATTATATTATTTCTACTTAAGTCTAATTCTTCTAAACTTTCAAGACCCATGAAAGCTCTTGTAATGTATCTGTGATGATTATTGATCAGCTTAAGCGACCTTAATTTTTTTAAATGGGGAAACAATGGCTTCAATAAAATAATCTGTAGACAATTAGATATATCTAGTGTCACTATATCAGTTGGTAAAAAAACTGATATTTCATACATGGAGATGTTACTGCAGGAAATACTGACATCTTCATACAGTTGAATGGAGCAACTAAAATTTCCTTTTAAAGTATCATACCAAATATCAGGTAAAGCTGTCTCAGTCGTTATTGTATTCAAATCTTTATACAAGGGTTTATTTCGTTCTTGATGTTTCGTCATTCCAAACAATTTAGTTTCAACATAATTATTTCTAAACTTACTTTCTACTTCCATTCTAGGGAAAGAATTATTTTCTGAAGACTCATATGTTAAACTCTTGTCGTCAATATGGCTGTGACTGAAATTGGAATTCTTGGAATTGCTGTTGCTTCTAAAATTGGAAGAAATCTCTGAAGTATTGGAACCTTTTGTTAAAATATGACTTTCTTCATTAGCTTCGGGTACGTTTTGCTTCTCGTTGAACTGAATAGATGTTATGCTTGATTTAACTGTAGGACTGCTGATTTCTCTATTGCTTATATCTGTTCTCACTTGATCCATATCATTTGCATTTTGCTCGCTGAAATATTTAGACTCATTTTTTTGCTTTAGTTTATTATTTATTATATGCAGCTCAGTGGTCAAAATATTATCCGAGACACACATAAAAAAGATGTCCATGGTGAAAAATATCGTGACAATATCCAACAATTTCATCCTGAAAGAAAAAAATAAAGAACTTTAATTAAAGCTTCTTCTTTGCTGTGATTTATTCCTTTAAAGGGCACCGATATATAAAATGTACCGGTTGTTTGTCAGTTTTTTTAACCTCCTAAAATGTTTATTTTTCTACACCAAAAGCCGTAAGTTTCTAATGTTTCCATTTGGTTTTAAATAGCAGCACTACCCTATTAATGCTCAATATTTTGCTGGTATGAAATTAATATACCTCGCTCTAAGGCTCTGTTTGACGATTCATTAATTCCATTGCAGGGGAATAAAAAAATTCAAAATCGCCAAATATATGATGTACACATGCTGAATCTTATATATTTACTGCATTTTAGTCAGAACTGATAATTAAAAGATTAGTACGATTTTAAGACCGGTATACAACTACGGCGAATATCACTGCAATTTATCGATGACTTAAAATAACTACAAATATATTTTACAACAGATTCTCCAAACTTTATGTTTTGCATAAATTTCACAAAACGGTTGTAGGGTTTATATTTATTTTAAGTTATCTTTCCTGTCAAGCCTTTACTTTCCCCTTTAGAATGTTTTTGTGTTTATGTACGTCCCTTTATGCTAGTAGTCCATTTATGTAAATTTGTAGTAGAGCGCGCAGCGTATTAAAAATTTAGCAGAAGTAAGTTGAGTTTAAATAGAAGGGAAACGAGTTTGTAAGTGTGCTTTTCTTGAATCCGCGAACGTGAAGGTTGCTAGGTAGAAATTTTAAGAACCGCCCATTTCGGCCTGTGTGCTTACTCCGGCAGTTTTGCTGAATCTTTCAACTGCTTAATTAGTAAGCTCGCTGAATCTCAGCTGTATTGTAGAACGCGGTTAGGTTAGTTAAGATCTCAGAGCCTCGTAGGTAGTGATCTAGCTATTCATTCATTCAGTCATTATTTTTTTAGTTTCATATTTCTGTTTCTGTTAAACCCCCGGGTCGGCGTAGTTTGTGAGCGTCAAGTGAACGCAGCTGTTATTTTTTAAAGTGGAATAAAAAGGGCTTTAAACCCTTTTTACGTGTTTATGTAAATTTACATTTCGTAACAGTCACTACCACAGTTGCTGACAAGTTGGGGCCATACCATACTACACGGTAATCAAATTTCGATTTATAGCTAACGGGACCAGAAATTGCGTGAAAGAAATAGACTACCGTTTTGCTAAAATACTTAAAAAAGTTCTGTACTTTATTAAAAATGCACAGATGCAAGACCAAAATTTCAACTGAATAATAAGTAACAACACACCGATACTAGAAGCTCTTCGCACTATTAAAATTGAAAATATTTTCTGTTATGACTTTAAAAATTTATACAAGGCTCTTTTGATACAAAAAGTCTTTGACAGTGTTTTAACTCTACCAGATTTATTTCCATAAATTATTCCGGTTATTTCCAAAGAAGAATGGCAACTGTATTTAAAAAGTTTTCTTTATAATAATTACATTGCTTTTTCTAATGATTTTTAAAACAAATTAACGGTATCCCGATGGGGACCAGCTCTAATTCAGCGATCTGTAATGTCTACCTTTTTACCAAGAAATTTCATTTTCAACAACAGTTATCTCAAGTACAACATTCATATTACTCTAACATATCAATTTTAAAGATATCAAAATTTACGACAAAAGAAGAGATTTTGATTTCTCTACTATTAAACATCCATTGGCACACAAATATTTCCAAAAGAGTAATTCTAAATACCATACATACTCAGCTCCTTAAAATAAAAAATATTTGCAACAAAATCGAATATTTACAAGAAGAAATTAATTATTTAATCAAAATTCTTTTAGGGAATAAACCACCTCTATTCAAAATCTCTAAAACTCTGAAGAAAGCTGGTATTAACTACCTTTTTAAAATTTATCATCTGTAGTGATATGATAATTATATGATAATTATTACTTAAATCTTAATCGGAGGGAATAGTTGGATGGTTACGATAAGAAATTTAATGTAAATATGTACAAAGAATTTTATATCTTCTCCCCTTTCCATTATTAATATTTCTTTCTACTATTTTATTAATTTATTACAGGCAAATTTTCTTGTTTTTACTAAAAAAAAATAGGGCTTTTTTGTTTCAAAGACGTTTTGTACTCCGATTACGTGAAATCTTTTATCTTGTTTAACACATTTTTCCTTTTCCTCAACTTTGAGCCAGTGCTACTTTCATGTTTTAAGATTTTACAGAAGACAGCAGCATCTTTTAGAGTTTCTTAACGCCGCCATTTTGAACTTCGTAGATCACCCTTCTCCGTAATTTTTACGACCGCATTCACATATAACACCCCCGCACACAAAGTTTAACAGGATAGGATTTTTTTAACACATGTTTAAATACTTTGTCTACTATTGGACAATTTGGACTTTATTGCATACTTTATCCAAGAACTACCATCTTCGGCTTCTTCAGAACCACTGTGAAACAAAATGACAAAAACTCAGCTTGATCATCTGAAGAATTAAGTAAATTTTCGCTTGAAGTACGTCATATGATTTCGGTAAGTTTGCATTTTTTCAATTTTGTATTTATTAGACATTCACGTTTTGCCGAAATCGGCTTTGTTTTGATTTTATTATTTATGCAAGCTCTATGAAAGGTTATTCGTTTTCTTGGAATTAAAAGTTTAGTTAAACATAATCGGGGACCGCCCATTTTTAGAATATTGTTTAAATGACTATTTGGTTAAAGTATACTTACTCGTATATTGCGATCTATCTTTATATTTCAATTTTGGATTTGCATATAATGTTTTTAGACCAATTTGGTTTTTTCGAATGGTCATTTTACAGTATGTAATATTTTTTTTTTAGTCAGTTTGAAACAATGTTATATTTTATTCTTTTTAAAAGTGTTTCGAAGGCATATAGGAAAAATCCTGGTACATTTGAGACAAACGTTTTTCGGTTTATGTGAGTTTTTAAGTAATATAAAGTTGATTCGTTTTTCGGGTTTTGATCTCAAATTTACCGGGAGAACGAAACATGTTTTCGAAGCATATTAATTAACCTTTATGAAGCTTTAATTCATTTTCCCCTGATGAGTTCTGAATTAAAGTTTGAATAAAGGGAGATTAATTTTTATATTTTTATTATCTTGTATATATTTTTCCTTTTTGCATTTTTAGCTTTCGGTTTGTACTACTATGACCATTTTTATTTTGAAAGGTTTTGATTTATGTTTAATCCTTTTACAAAGATGCAATTATTAATATTTTTGAGGAATCGCCGTGCTTTTGAGTCTAATTTACTTTTATCTTTAGATGCTTTAAGTTTATTTTACTTCAATTCAGCAGCTATAGCGCAAGACCGGTTTAAAAAATTTGCTTTTTATTTTTGCCGCTTATTAAGTTTCTTTATGTATATACAATTGTGGTAAATAGTGAGTAATAATACTTATATTAAGCAAAGAATATAGTTGTACAAAAAAGCAAAGAAGACACCGAGTCACAGGGCCAGCATTGACAATATACACTGGTGTGCAAAAATTAAGGACGAAGTCGAAAAATTAGCATATCAGCTGAACGAAGAGGCAGAGCGGACAGAAAGACCAATCAGGAGATTAAGTAAGGTGATGTACGGTAGCACATGCGCAGATATGCAGGTAGACGTAATGGGGGAGTGTCTGAGTAGTATAAATCATGTTGTCTGTGTAAGATCAGTATTTCTGGCAAAGAGATTGCACGCCGTATAGCAGTTAAAATCACACCGAGTTGCTGCCTCAGCGAGAAATGGAGAATAATCAATCTGTTAGACGACATCTGGATGCTTTTACCCGAGGTCGAATCATTGGGAAGTTGGAGGAAGGCCGCAGTGTGACAAGTGTGGCTGCAGAGTTCGGAATTGCTCACAGCATCGTTTCACGACTTTGGAGACAATTTCAAACTACAGGAACAGCTATCCGGGGGTCGGTAGGGTTTAGTAGTGGTCGTCCACGAGGAACCACAGCCGCAGATGAAAGGTATATTGCCTTACAGGCCAGAAGAAGAAACAGGCGGCAGACAGCGGGAGAGAGAAAGAAATCGCTAGAGACACACGACACAGGCGACTGGACGACCGATATCGCGTTTTACCGTGGCCAGAAAACTGCACGGTGGAGGTCTGTTTGCACGACGCCCTGTACGGTGTGTACCTCTAACGCCTGCCCGTCGGAGAAGGCGTTCTCTGTGGTGCCGGAAACACCGGAATTGGAGGAGAGACAATGAATGGGGACGAGTACTCTTTACAGATGAGAGAGCAGATTCAGTCTGAGTAGCGATTCTCATCGCATACTCATCTGGAGAGAGAGAGAGCGGGAAAGCCGCAATCATCCCTCGAACATCATTGAAAGGGACAGGTATGGAGGTGGCGGTGTTCTCGTTTGGGGAGGCATCATGCTTGGTAGTCGTACAGACCTTCACATCTTCGACGCAGGTTCAGTCAACGGGACCCGTTATTGTAACGAGATTCTTCTTCCATATGTGCGTCTTTTTAGAGGCGCTATGGGTCCGCAGTTCCTTTTCATGGACTACAATGCACCATGTCATCGCACAGTAGCTGCCGAATAGCTCTTAGAGAGTGAGGATATTGAACGTATGGATTGGCCGGCACGATCTCCGGATCTCAATCCCATCGAGCATGTATGGGATTTTCTAGGCAGACGCTTGGCAGCTCGTACCTTACCACCAGCAACGATTTCGGAGCTTCGATTGGCGCTGCAAGACCAATGGGCAGCAATGCCTCAACAACTCATTGACACCCTCATTCTCAGCATGGGCAGACGCTGTGAAACCTGCCTAGCAGTCAGGGAAGATCATATCCCCTATTAAAGACCGGATGTTTCTTGCTGGACACCCATCACAGGGATGTTTCGGCCTTCAGTCGCATTGCGCTCCATGCTACTTTTTCAATAAAGCTTCTTTTTATCCCTCTGATTTCTCTTTTAGTAAGTGGTGCTTACATTACTCTTGTCCTTACGTATTGAGGATCTTACGGT